GCTTTGGCCCGTTACTTGACTATTGGTCCTTTAGAGTGTGATTTAGACCTTAGGCTTAGAACCCAATTATTAAATGGGTATTGTTTGATGTTGGCAGTTTCGGGAATCTATCAACCAGCAGCTGGAGTTTCATCCGTGAGACTTCAGCAGTGTCATGCGAGTTATCCTCACTATATCAAAAGGGTCTAAGGAACCAATGTTGGCCCTCTTCGGATTTGTATCCGAGTTATTGCATGTTATGCTTATTGATTTACATCCTTGTAATTAGGATGGTGATACGCTTAGTGACCTAGTTAGGTCGGTATTCTGGTATGCAGAATGATGTTATGTTAGTAACCGGTTAGGTCTGTATCTTGGTTATAGGGTGTTCCTATGATTGATGATCTGTTAGATAAGTTTGGCTATGATATACGCTAGTGTATGATATTTATGTGCACATGCTTGTTGGATTGGGAGTTGGGTTGAGGCGATCCTACTTTGTGTTGAAGGCCAACATACCCAGGGCGGTTCGAATAGATTGAAGGCCCTGCAAGGGGGTTCAGTTAGGCCGAAGGCCCGACGAGCGGTCCATATACGCTGTAGGCCCTGCATGGCAGTATAGATGTAGCACCTAGTTCTTGGTACGTACTCTGTTATTAAATCTTCATTTATTTTTTCATTTTTAGCCTTGGACTTGGTGAGTCGAAGGACTGACTCGCCGAGTAGAAGCCGGATGAGGCGCGGGGTTTCACATGCGGACTCAGCGAGTCGGGTCCCGGACTCGGTGAGTAGCCGCTGTTTGAACAAAAACCCTCATCCAGGGGTTTGCACCCTATTTAAACGACGTTATGCAACCTCCTTTCCCCCTTAAAGCTTCCAAACGCTCCTCATAGCAAACCCTTGCCGTTTTCTGAAGATCTGAGGCTTTTTGAGTGATTCTTGTGAGTTTTGATCTCAAGGAAGAAGGAAGAGCATAGAAGGATCAAGAGGGGACTGAAGGATTCGAGTTTGATTCATCATTTGCAGCCTTTGGAAGGTATAAAGTCTGAACCTTGCTCATTCATTTGTTAGATCCCTCTTTGAGGTGATTTAGGGCTTTTTAAGCCATTTTTGGTGGCCAACCATGTTTGCAAACATGGTTGGGTGTTTGGGCTTCTGTATCACGTCATTGTATGAGCCACTAGTCAGATCTAGGTTGCTTTTTGCACCAAGGAATGCCCCATGGAACAAACGAAACATTTTAGAGCCTTTCAAGCTCTTATGTCCCATGCATGCACGTAAAGTTTGTAACTTTACTTGCTAGATCGAATTTAGGGGCCTGGATCTATCATTTGGTTAAGTTTTGTACATCAGAAATCGAAGTTCTTGGTAAGGAATGAGATAGGCTTGGCGAGTCCATTCCTGGACTTGGTTAGTCCAGGGGTTTTGGTCCCATATCAGTAAGGGTCATAAGGACCAGTTGAGTGTGGAAGGGTTTTTAGGAGTCCCGGGGAGTGACCTAACATTCTGGACTAAGCAAAGTGTTCTGGGAATTCATAGTACTCAGGGAGTGCATGAACGGACTCGGCGAGTCCAAGGCAATCTTCATGGTACTCGATGAGTTGTTCATACAACTCAGCAACTCAGATGTGATTTCAGTCGGTGTTCTTTTAGACGGAAAACCCATCGAGTCATCGCCTAACTCGACGTGTAAAGACGGGTTTGAGGTCTAATGCAAGGATAGGGACTCGGCGAGTTGGCGAGCCAACTCGGCAAGTCAGGTCAACTGGAAACTGACTTTGACTTTGACTTGGTTGGGGGTAAAATGGTCATTTTACCCTAAGAATAGATGTCAGTTTTGGACTGAGTGTTCTGTGGGAATTATAGCCGAAGGATTTCCGGAATAGCAGCAGCGGTAACAGTTACAGGATTCCCACACAGTTCAGCAGCTACTACGAGGTGAGTTACCTTCCAGTGGCAGTGGGTCTAAGGCCACAATGTCGGCCCACTAGAAAGAGTGTATTTTTAGATGGTTGTCTCTATGATATTCATCTAGGTATGCTACTACCTATGTTATGTTTATGTGCTAGTATGATATACATTTTATGCTGTAGTAGTAGGGGTGAAATAGTCCCCAATGTCCGGTCGAGAGGACCGAAGGGGAGACCAGCACCCAGGTATGCTAGTCAGTATCCGGTCGAGAGGACCAAAGGGGATACTAGCACCCAGGTATGCTAGTCAGTATCTGGTCGAGAGGACCGAAGGGGAGACCAGCACCCAGATATGCTAGTCAACATCCGGTCGAGAGGACCGAAGGTGTAGGTCGGGCACCCATATATGCCTGAAAACATATGTATGTTATGTGGTATGGTGAGGGGACTCACTAAGCTTCATGCTTATGATTTTCAGTTGCTGTTTTAGGTGCCTCTTCAGCGAAGGGGAAAGAGCTGGCACAGTACCTGCATATCACACACACACACACTCTTTGTTTTCTGCACTACAAGATATTTTGGGATTTGTACTCTGACATTATGGTTGTTTTTAGTTTTTGGTTCGGACGTGAAATATGTTTATGCAATGATGATTTTTATTTCCCAAATCTTTTCCAATGTGTAGATTTGAAAAGGAAATTTTTGGCTTTGAAAATTGGGTCGTTACAAGTTTGTATCAGAGCCCTGGTTTGAGGGATTCGGACACACCTTCGGGAGTGTCTGAACTCAAACCGAGGGATTAAAGGATTTCGAAAAAAGAATTTTTTTTCTAAAATATTAAGTAAAGAGTTTTATGAAAGAACGAAGTGTGTGATGTGCGCAACCGGCCGAGCTCAAGTAAGTATTCCCCAAAGTACCCATACAATGTTATACTATGTTTATCAGTTTCAGTAGAATAGCATGCTAGAATAGGACTAAGGATCTAGGAGGATGCCTTACGTTCCTGCTTTTGTGTTCTAGCCTTATGTGAATTGCATGCTAGAAATTGAGTAGACAGCAGTAGGATAACCTGTTTAGGTTATGCCTGATAGTATGAGTTCAACATTGAATGCTAGTGCAATTTTTCGTTATGAGAATAGAATTCCTTGAGTAGTTCCTGTATCCGAATGCTGCTTGCTTTGTGCTTTGTGGGACTCCAAGTAATGAAATTTAGCCATTAGGTGAATACGTCACATCACATGGGATCAGGATTTGATAATCTCAGAGGTTGGATTTGGCCCGGCTGCGCAGCTCTCGTTTGAGTCCAACCGTAGTAGGGATGAGTCTTTTACTAGAAAAAAGGCCTTTTACGATGCTCATTGCGCGTCGTAAAACGCTCAGACGACGCGCAAATGCGCGTCAAGGAAGCCCCTGTCATAAAGAGAGACGACGCATTTTTGCGCGTCGTCTATAGACGACGCCCATTTATGACACGCAATGCATATCATTTAAGCCAATGTCAAGAAAGGCCATGTCATAAAGGAAGATGACACACATTTTTGCGTATCGTAATTTTAATTTTTTTTAAAAAAATATTATTTATAGATTTACTATTTTTCAAATTAAATTTGCATTTCATGTCTCATAATAGAAATAAAATACCATATACAAAAAAAATACAATTCATTGCATAAAATTTAATGTCATACAATTATATTTCTTACAATATATAAATTAAATTTACATTGTTATTAAGATGTTTTCCCTAACAATATAACCTAATACTACATTGCTATAAAGGGGCACCTTCTTGTTTCAGTAACTTGTCATTAAGTTGTCAGAATAAGGTCTAAAACCCTTCATCATGTCTCTTAGCTTCAATATCAAAGTCAAGTCTTTATCAAGAACAACACGGAAATCCTACACAATAATCATGTCAGTTGTACAATACCAATTAATTGCAGGAGTCAATTCTCTACTAGTAACAGCGTTTAATTCCGTTATTGCCCTTGCAGCTTCAAAGATAACAGGTGGCAATCATTACTTAAATTAAAGAGTACCTGACTTATGTAACAAATTAAAAGGCATTGGCCTAAAGGCGAACGAACGGTTACCCTTGTTAAACTGGTAACTAATTTGCTAACATCCAATTGGTCATTTTGTCTTATCTGAAAATATATAAAATTAATTAAATTAATGGGACAAATGTCGACAATTATCACATTAAATGTGCATGGTCATTTTGGTCATTTTTGTGATTAAGCCTTTAGGCTTTAGTTATACTTGGTGGAGCTGAACAAGTGCATGAAACTATACAAGTGCAACCCTTGATTGAACAACTTCTTGTACCTCATTGTTCCATCTTTTCAGAATCTCTGGATTTGTCTAAGATACAACAACAAATACAATATAATTAGGAATTCTGTTAAAAGAATATCATTAAAGATAACAATGCTAATGATTGGTTATACCTGGAGCAAATGGACGCCACTAACTAAATCTGCACTAGCAACTACATGAGTTTTGTCAACAATAGAATCAAAATTTTAGTTTTTTGTACCTTAATCATCAAATCAAAGTAACCGTTAGAATTTGGATCTGATATCAGGGTGCATCTGAAAATAAACATTCATCAAAATTAATAAAAAGTAAAAAACTATCTCCAAATACATCATATTGCATGACATTTTAAGATGAAAACGGTTAAGAATGGAAATTATGATATAAAATAATTCAAGGAAGTCGTAATACCACACGAGCTACAGAGAGGGAAAAAACTATAAATAGGCCAAAACCGTAGGGACCAGAACTGTTGCAGGGACAAAAATTGTACAAGGACCAAAAATTTAGGGACCAAAACTGTTACCTGTTTTGTTGTTTCCTGTTTCTGAGAACATAAGATGTTGATTCCGATTCGGATTTTCTATCACATTTGGAGGATTTAGTGATTCCAATGCAACTCATTTGTCCACTACTAACCTCAAGAAGCATTTTAGCTGCTGAAGTGACTTGTCATAAGCAGGATCATAACAAAACATTTGCAACAATAACTTCTTGTTTTAAATATTCACCAAATGTCTTAAATAGACTTTGATAATGATGCATTTATGCATTAAAAATTATAAATTTCTTTCAAAAAGTATCCAAACTTTTATTTAACTCATGTAACTCTTTATCCGTGAAGTCTTGGAGAAGAGTATGCTCCAACTCTTTTGTTGTTTCCATCCTATCACACCAGAATCGCCTATATTCATTATCATTAAAAAAGAAGATGAAATACAAATAATTTTAGGTTTATATAAAAAAATTAAAATAAAAACATACCACTCTCACTAATTTTTTTATGCGATACAACAAATTTATAAGAAATTAAAGAATAAAGGTTTATTATATAAAATAAATATGATATTCATATTATAATTTATACCTATAATTCAACAGTAGAATCTCCACCACGAGCACAAAGTTCTGCTTGCAAGCATTCCAGTTGTTGACATTTTTAACATGTCACTAGACACCGGATCCCTATTCACCTATTAAATTGTTTAAAAAAGTAATGATTTATTTGTGTATTATATATAGCATCTCACTGTAATACTTTTTCTATAATAAGCAAATCAATGAAAGCATGTTGCTATTTCTAGCATATAACTCAAACTTACCACAGGCTTATTCTATATATTTCGAGCCCTGTTTGCATACTTTAAAGTGTTGTGAGTCTCCTCAGCATTTATATCAGCAGGACTAACACAAGCTGAAATTAGGAAAAATTATATGTTTACTTAATACCAAAGATTTTAAATAATAAACAAAATTATAATTATAAATAATAAACAATACTATAAATTATATATGTTACCTATCATAACGATTCTGTTGTTCCCACCAAGTGAGTCCTATCAGTTTGGTAAAACATATTTAGATTAAACTAAAAGCAATAAACCGATTTGCATTAAAAAGATAGTTAATTAATAGTATCCAACCAGTAAGAGGTAAGTAAGTTTACTATCTCATCACCAAGGGCACTTATGACATTTCCAAGTGCAAGAAGACCCTTATAAATATGAACTCATGTTCAACAAATCAAGTTATTAGGCAGGTTATTTCCTTTTTCCAATAATGAGGATGAGGGTATTTATGTCTTTTGTGTGAGACAAAAGCTGCAACTTTTGTCTACTCACTCCTGGTTTTAGTCCTGTTCTTTTAGCCCTTTCTGAACCAACAAGATCAACTAAATGCAATTTGGCACACAAATATTCATCACACATAGAATCATTCGAGATTGTCTTGTTCATTTGTTCCAATGTGATTGTGAAAACTGCATGTGATCGACTACACAAAAAGTTGAAAATGTCATAAATATATATCATATATGTCATATATAATATATTATATTACTTAAAAGACAATTCAAAGATTAATTACCTTGATTGATTATTCATATTTGTACTTCATGTTGCTCTGCTCAATGATCCATGCTCAAGTCAATCACTCATTTCTTTTAATGCCTTAACACTACATTCAATAGATCCAGCAAGCGTTATGACACCATTAGAAGTTTCCCTAGAATATTCACTTTCTCATTCTACCTATTTGATGATATCTCAGATTTAGTATCAACAAGTCTCACACTTCTTCTTTTAGAATCTTCATAGCAAAATCTTTCAGTCAGGTGTAAAGTAAGAAAGCTATTTACAATTCTACTTATAGGTATAAAAAACACACCTCGATGAAGGAAACATGCAACTGGAACTCTATTTGATCTTGTAAACTTTCGATTTTGTTGAATAAAGCAGCCATGGATTGACGAATAACTCCGGTTTGGTAACCATCTTTGAATCTGGTTCCCATGGTGTATGTCTTCCCTGAACCGGTCTGTGAAATTAGAACACGTAAAGAACTATGATAAACAATAGAATACATTTTTGTTAGTTGAATCAACACGTAAAGAACTATGATAAACAATAGAATACATCTTTGTTACTTGAATCGTGAGAAATTTATACCTGGCCGTAAGCTAGAAAAGTAGCATTATATCCTTGAAACGGACCCTCAACAAGAGGAGAAACACAATCTTCAAACATGGAGGATGATGGGGAAGCAGAGCTTCCATAGACATGATCGAAAGTGAAGGAATGTGTACCAAGTTGCACCTGTAACATAAACAAAGATTAATCAATTTCTCGATCATCAGAATTGATACTAAGATCTACCAAATCTTAGGTAACAAAACTCAAACATGGTTTAGACTAAAATCAAGGATCGATTAAATAAAAAATAAAAACCCAAATTAGATGTCTAGAATCCATTACAACCAAGTGAGGAATTCAGTAAACTTTACAGCATTGAAGCTTCTCATCTCCGATATGACCATGACATAATATTAATTCATTTTATCTTGTGAACCTTGTCCAGATGATTTTGATAGTATCTTTACTTCCACATCCATCCCATTGTCTAGAACACCCTGAAATTATGATGTGATATTGTTTTTTTTTAGAAAACTGAAATAACCAAGCCAGAAGCTGGCTGGGCACAAAACTACGTACAAAGGAGTTAGAGCTCTACACAGAAGAGATAATTAACCAAGCATTTCAATCAATTTTATATTTACTACACCTGCTACTAATCTAATTAAAAGCTACTGCATCCTTACGTGATCAAACACAACATCACAAATTCCCTTTGCCCTTAAAGAAAGCCTTGTTTCTAACTTCTCTAATATTCGGTGCTTTTGAGTACATCAAGAAACTAATCCGGATAGTCACATGTAGTTTAAAAAGTCAACTTTATCTATGATATGAACCATTGTAGCTAGAGCTAACACCGATGGTTGATAACCCCCAGATCTTGAATCTTGACTTCAAGGAAAATAAACAAAAACATGATGAATGGAATAAATAACTTTGTGATCTGATATGGATTTTGAAAGTTATTTGGTGAAACTTAAAGAAATATTTTACTTCGATTTTTAGAGGAAAAAGAAAAGACAAAAAAAACTAAATATACAAATCTGGAACTCGATTTCAGCCTCAAACAGTTCTAGAAGAACTACATTTACATATTTAGAACATGATTTTCAAATAAGAAGGAAATGGAAACCTTACCTGCAGAAGCTGGAGGACGCAAAAGCATGAATGGAGAAGTTATCGGAGGTAGAGGGGAAGCCGACGATGGAGGCGGTGCAAATTAGAGGGTGGCAACGATGCTGAAGGGAGGGACGCAGAAGTCTCGGCAATAGGAAAGTTGCACCTAATTCCAAAATTAACAAAATTCCAAACGTAAATCAACCTAAAATCAAGAAAAATAAAGAGTTAAATGACGCTTCTTGATCAGTTGAACCCTATTAGTTATAGAATCCGAAGATCTAGGGTTAAATGTGTGATGAAGGATTGAAGGGGAATTGTGAATTCATACCAACAACCTTGACTCTCGATTCAGTATAGGGAATAAACCATAAAAGAGCTATCAAATAACCCTTGGAGTGAAATTAAAGAAACCGTGAAGATTTTAGTGGATAGTTGAACAATGATTTTAGTGAAGAGATGAAGAGCTTGGGAAGGGACGAAATCGATTTTTAACTGAAAAGAAAAATCTAATTTAATAGATAAACCTATTAAGGTAGCGGCCACGGAGGTGAGACGGGATGCAATCACAGGTGTGGTGGAAGAGTCACATTCATAGTCATCAGTGCAATGGAGGAGTCTCACACCCAATTGAGAGTGAAACGATTCTGTTATAAGTATTAGCTTATCGTTGGTCGATTTGTAATGAGGAAGGCCTCACGTCACCGGAGGAGAAGTGACCAAAGGCGAAGCAAGGTGAATCGTCCATTGTTTCAGAGCTAAGAGAGATGCGAGAGTGTTTTCGTTCTTGAAAAAAGCCCTAGCTAAAATGGTCACAATGATTTTGTGGAATTTAGTATTTGGTGATGTTTTGGGATTTTGTTGTGCGAGAAAAGAGGAGTGGTTATGATATTAGGGTTTTTGGGGTATTGATCAGTGAGGAGAGGGAAGAACGATGGAAATAATGCAGAGTATGAACGAGATGTTTGATGATACTGATAAGAAGGAGATCGAGTAGAGATCCGATGAACGAGATGTTTGATGATACTGAAGATGAAGATGAGAGACCTAGGGCTTTTTCTTGCTAATAAAAGAGGTGGGGCGATTAATTTTGGGGATTCAATAGGCGGGGATAATTTTCATCGATTTCATTTCCCGCCTAAAACGTGTATTTCACTTTAAAATTATAAAGCGACACATTTACATGACACACATTTTATGAAAGGCGCCCTCCGCATTTTTTTTTCTATTCTGACACTAATCTTACGGTGCGTACAAATGCGTGCCCACTATCCTTCAAATTTTGCAAAATTGACATTATCTTTTAGGGCACTTACAAATGCGCGTCGTCTATCAGCAAGTGTCATTGTTTGCGCGTCATTAAAGGGTTGTTTTCTTGTAGTGATGATTAAAGTAGATATGGATATATCTACTTAATCAAGCATAAGTCATAAACCTTTGAAAAGTTCAAAGACTTTAAGCAGGAAGTGGAGAATCAACTGGGCAGGAACATCAAGATGCTCCGATCCGATCGGGGAGGAGAGCATCTTAGTATTGAGTTCCTTGACTATCTTAAGGAATGTGGGATCGTCTCACAATTCATACCTCCTAGGACACTACAATTGAATGGTGTGGCTGAGAGGCGCAATCGAACCTTTTTGGACATGGTTCGTTCCATGATGAGTCGAGCTTCGTTACCAATGTCATTATGGGGGTATACCTTAGAGATTGCCGCCCATATCCTTAATCTAGTCCCTATCAAAAAGGATTCCAAAACACCTCATGAGATGTGTACTGAGAAAGTACCAAATCTAGACCACATCAAGATTTGTGGTTGCGAGGCTTTCGTGAGGCGCGAGTCTCACGACAAGCTTGAACCCCAAAGCGAGAGGTGTATTTTCATGAGCTACCCACATAAATCCTTTGGTTACCTCTTCTACAGATGCAGTGAGAATGTGGTCTTTGTGGCAAGGGGAGGAGTCTTTCATGAGAGAGAATTTATAAGCCACAGAGACAGTGTGAGACAAATTGACCTTGAAGAACTTCAAGAGTCAAGCGGTGAAGGAACCTCAAACACAAGCGACCAACCTGAGGAGGAAACTCATGTTGAGCCAATAGATAAGTCCGTACCTCCGAGGCATTCCACTAGGGTTAGGAACACACCTGATTTTTATTATGGTTATCACATCACTACTGAAGGTGATACATTTATCAGTGACAGTACATTGATAAATTTGGATGAACATAATAATTACAAGGAAGCCATGGCAGGCCCCGAGTCTGCTAAATGGAAGGAGGCTATGGACAGCGAGATTCAGTCCATGTATGACAATCAAGTTTGGAACTTGGTTGACAATGTACCAGGTCGTAAGATAGTTGCGTACAAATGGATCTTCAAGAAGAAGATCGACATAGATGGGAAGGTGAACACTTACAAAGTGTGACTGGTAGCGAAGGGCTTTACTCAAAATCCCGGAGTTGACTTTGATGAGACCTTCTCACCAGTAGCAAAGATCAAGTCTATTAGAGATTTGATAGCCATAGCTGCATTTCATGATCATGAAATATGGAAAATGGATGTGAAAACCGATTTCCTTAATGGAAAGTCGGTTGAGGATGTTTACATGAATCAGCTAGAGGGTTTTGTCGATGCAAAGTACCCTAGTAGAGTGTGTAAGCTCGAGAAATTCATTTATGTATTGAAACAAACATCTCGTACATGGAATCTTTGTTACGATGACAAATTCAAAGAGTTTGGTTTTTTGAGGAGCGAGGATGAGTCATGTGTATATGTTAGGGCAAGTGGGAGTATAGTTAGTTTTTTGGTGCTGTATGTGGATGACATACTACTCATAGTAAATGACATCCCAACTTTGCAGGAGGTTAGTCTTGGCATGGGAAGTGTTTCGCTATGAAAGACCTTGAAGAAGCTGCCTATATCCTAGGGATAAGGATACTGAGAGACAGGAATAAACGACTAATTGGACTTAGTCAAAGTACCTACTTGGATAAAGTGTTGAAAAAGTTCAACATGGAGAATTTCAAGAAAGAGGAGTTACTAATCCAGCATAATACCGGACTGAGTAAAACTCAGAGTCCAAATATAAAGGCTGAGATAGCTGAGATGAGTTGATTACCATATGCTTCCACTGTTGGCGCGATCATGTATGTTATGACTTGTACTCGCCCTGATGTGGCCTTTGCTTTGAGCATGGTCAACAGATACTAGGGAAACCATGTCAAGGCTCCTTGGACTACTGTAAAGAATATTCTCAAGTATGTACGAATGATTAAGGACTGGGTTCTTACTCTCGGTGGGAGTGATGACTTCAGAGTAGTAGGGTATAGCTATGCTAGTTTTCAGACTGATCGGGATAATTTCTGCTCTCATTCAGGCTGGGTCTTTACCCTGAATGGAGGAGCAATTACTTGGAAAAGTTCCAAGCAGGAGACAGTAGTTGATTCTACCACTGAATCAGAGTACATACAAGCAACTGAAGCAGAAAAGGAGGTGATATGGCTGAATAACTTCATTGGAGACCTTGGAGTTGTACCAGCTATATAGGAGCCTATGGATATTTTCTGTAACAATAATGGTGCGGTTGCCTTACCAAGGAACCAAGAGATCATGGTAGATCCAGATTGATTGACAAAAAAATATCACTTCAAAAGACACAAGATAGATGAAGGACTCCTCATGGAAAAGAGGGTATCGTTATAAGAGAGCCCTGCAGATCCCCTCACGAAGGAACGGACTAGGGTTAGGCATTTGCAGCATGCGAGGAGCATCAGGCTGAGAGACGATATTAGTTTTAATAATTAGATAGCTATTTCTAAAACTTGAAAAATGTAATTGACATTTGATGACTAAATAAAAGTTGTTGGTTATTTATAAGTGAAGTGTTACTATCTTGTGTTAATCATTTACTATTGTTTCAACTTTGCATGTTTTGACTTCCAGAATAATTATTTTATTCAAAACTCTCCACAGTCAGTCATACGTTGGAAGTAAGTATTGAATTAAGACTATCATGAATTTGGCTTCTAAGATTTTTCTAAGGTGCATTAGACATTGCAATGGTTGCTGCAACATTCATGAGTGCTCATAAGGTCTGAGTTTTAGATTAAACCCACACTCACTTGTATCACTTCATGGAATTTATCTTGAGTGATCATGAGATGGTAATATCATATATATCTTCAAACCTAGAGATGTGAGTTGTTGACTATGAGTTGGTTATCCATTGATTGTATGGAAACGCATCAGTAACTTGATGTCATAAAACATGCTTTTGTCATATGAGTAAAATTTTATTTGTTCCTTCTAGCAATAAAGGCGATATCTAGGCCCCTCAATGATTTGGTTTTCACTTATATGTTAGGCCAAGTCAGAACCTAATTGATGTGTTCAACTTAGTTCAATGTCGAAAAAATCTGAGATCGAGAAACAACTGTTGTACAATAAGTACAACAATGTTCCATGTATTTGTCTGGCTGATAGCTTGAGAACAGAGGGTTATATGATCACTTATTATTACACACACCCAAACCGGAATGGTAGAAACATTCGGGGGTGGAGGACGTCATGTTTTGTATCACAAGACATGCATTATATTAATCAAAGTAATAAACAACCATTTCATTAGAAAGAAAGTGTTTACAAAGTATGTGGTTCACAAAACATAGACTACATATGGAAATAACAAAACAAGACATGAAGCTATTATGCTCCATCCTCTGAATCCCAGTGCGCGTACTTGTCTACTGGTCTCCTGAGAATACAAGTTATTTTGAAAGTGTAGATCAGTATTTAAGCGGGTGAGTTCATAAGATTTTAGTGATGTCAGAAGTTGTAAGAAAGTTGTAGTAAGTTGTAAGTTCTGTTTAGAAAAGTTTGTATGTTCCTCCAGAATATCCTATATTTCCTGCTTTGATGAAAGATAAGTAAAAATGACTCTACAATCCTTTCTATGAATACTAAATAGATAAAAGTTATATAAAACCCAGAGTAAACAAACAATCGGTTGTGTGTATCTACCCTAAGCCCACAACGAAACAAGGAACAGGAAA